GCCATCACTGGTCTAGCCTACGACCCAGCCAGGCTGCATGGTACAGCCTATTGGTCCTGGGCTATAAGCCTGTTCGGCATGTTATTGTCCTGAACACTGTAGACAGCTATAACACAACTGTATTTGTGTATCTAGACATTTCTAAACACAGAAAGGGGACAGTGAAAATACTGTATGCAGCACTTCATGTCAGACTGGCAGTGCAGTTGGTTTGTTTATACCAACATCATCAGAAACAGGTAAGTAGTAAGTTGCACCACACATTACAATGGCTTCGATGTCACTGGGAAATTATAATTCTTCAGCTCCATTATCACCTCACGGGGCCACCATCGTATATGCAATCGTCACTGATGAAAATGTCATTATGTAGTTAGTACATGACTCTATCATACAGGTGGTATTTCGAGTCAGTGAAGTAACGGCAGCCTATTTATTTACTAAACCCTTCCTGGCACCATCGAAATAGGTCATCATTACCCTCATGTTATAAAGGAAGAAACTGAAGCACAGAGAAGTTAGGTAACTTCTCCACCGTCACACAGCGAGGCGACAACAGACCTCGGACTCGATCTCGGGCCGCCTTACTCCAGAGCCTGAGCCCTTACCCACTACACTGTCTCTTCCCAATACTTTACTTTTATAACCACCTGATTTTACAAACAAGAAAACTGAACGACAGAAAAGTAACTTCCTGAGATCACAAACTGAGCAAGAAATAGTTCTGGAGTTTGAAGTCAAGCCATCAGGGCAGTTATTTGGTGTTGTTTTTTTTTTTTTAAGTATTTTGTATTCATTCAATCCCCATTCCCAACCATCCAGGTGTTTTAAGGTGAGCGTATTTTCTAACTCATGTCCGTGGACCACAGCTCCACCCCCGCCTCGTGGCCCAAATCAGAAATCCCAAGTCCTGCTTGACCCTTCTCTCTCGGAACTTTTTGTTCAAATCCCTGCATCTCTCCTCTTCCCCACCTTTTAAAAGACGTACCTGGTATCCGGTCGGTGTCCACCTGCAGCGAAGGGCTCTTTCGCACACATTTTTGAGAAGCTCCTCTTTGCCTCGAGGTGGTGAATCAGGAAAGCAAATCTTTTAGGTTTTACAGTTCCCCCTCCCCC